TTTTAGAGTTTATAAAGATTATAAGAATTATGAAAATTATGGTAATTATGAAAATTATGGAAATTATGAAAATTATAGAAATTATAGGAATTTCCAATCGTAACAGCGGGAATAGTAGATTCAGGGAATGTGAAACTGGAGCGATGCAAGCCATGGGTATTTACTATGTAAATATGCACAGCGAAAAAACTTTTCACAAAGAAAATACATATGGCACGAGTTGGTTAATCAGATTTGATAACAATCAGGTCATACGATTACATCATGCATGCAGAAGTTCCATGACCTTCTAATTTATTATGTGGTATGCTAATCTAACAACTGTATTACGCAATTGATTTTCAGGCATGTGACTTTTTACGTATGTGTTACCTGTGAAATCCGATCTGTTAAGTTATCCAATTTTAGGTTTGTTTGGTCGACATTTATCATGATAATTGTATTTCACGAGACTGTATTATCAAAATTTCTAAGTTTCTGGAAGAAAAAAGCACAATTCATGAAGCAATACATAAACGCTTCTCTTTTTTGATATATACCAATTCTAATGCATGGCATCGAGATGTATTTAAATATACTGATTCAGAAGCTAAATACCCTGTATGCAAAGAAGTACATACACGTTTAGGAATATGGAGTGACTGGAGCTGTCTGGAAAAAATGATCACTATTTCTTAACTACTTTTTTCGCATTGATCAAAAGAAAGTTATAATTGCTGTACAAAGTTTGTCCAAAAGTGTGTCAAACAAACCTCGTAATTCTCATGATTCGCCAAATCATCCAAACAATTACAACCATAACTCAATTAATTACACAAAATAAAATAACAAATAATTGATAACTTTATTGATAATAATTATATATTTCAACGTTATTTTTTATGCTACAATGTAGACCTAAAGGGAATCAGAGATTCGATGCTTATTGTGGAACAATAGCACTTACGTGCCTGCATTATCATTGCTCTGCAATAAAGATCAGACTTGTAGAGCGTAGCTCATTTCTTTGAAATAGAATTATTCGTGGAGTAAGGACAAAGAGGGAGGAGCATCTCGAGCCCTAAACCATAAAATGAGAGCTCCTTTCCCTACTCCACATTAGCTATCGTGATTTATTTCTTCTTCCTCCTCACTTTCCGGTTCAGTATCTATCACCTCATTCTGTTTCGATACCCATAACTTTAATGCATCCAATGTCTCTTTTTTCAGATTTTTAGTCATTTTTTTATGAAAATTCCTAATGGTGGCATCACTAATTGCTACCCCTCTCTTATGATTGATAACAAGAGTTCAGATTTCTTCAGCTACCTTGGGGTATAGCCTTGCCATGGACTGCTTTTCGACACGCTTTTTCTCATTGAATAATGTATCAATTTCTTCCCACAGTTCGAAAATGATGCCAGTATAATTTTGAGGCGTTTTGGATGTACCAGATCCCGCATTACTACTTCTCGCGACCCCATCTCGAACTTCACGAATGTCATAACCAAGATGTTTTACGGTTTCAGATAAACCAGAGATAATTTTTTGTTGTTTTTTGAGTGAGACAGTCATTTTCTCGTCGAATCGCTTTTCAGTGTTCCCAGAATTATATCTGGTTATGATATATAGAAATATCATTTGAATCAGCATAAAGCTGGAAAACAGTAAAAAATCAGAAGTAATCGAGAACATTCTGATAGGTTTGTATTGCAAAGCAATGGCTTCACCCTATGATTTATGATTCAATTTTATTGGGTAATAACGAAGCTGATATAATTGAGATTTTTACGGTTATGGATTATAGCGCTTGCTTGAAATTACGTGGGTTTCGTGTTGTAAAAAGTTACGATATGGATTACTCTATATCTTAGAACCAGTTCACTGAGAAAACACATGTTTTTATATCTGTAACTCGTAAAACTATATCTCACAGTAAAGGCGATCAATATATCTTAATTTCACAAAACAAAGATGAATTAGCTTAGTTTCTTGCGTATCCTGTTTCTTAACACGAATTATATCTGATTTATTCTATGTGATCATGACATTGATTCTTTAGATTTCGTTCTAAGTAATTAATTCGACGCTTCATTATGAACTCGAACGCAAAACAATATTCATGTTGGGCAAAATATTACGGTTAATGAACTAACTATCAGTTAATGAATTGGGGAATCGAAATTGAGCTAGCTCGTGATCAGCAATTCCAGATCGGTGCTAAAATGATTAGAAATGTATTCAGTTGCACAATGTATGTATTACATTACCTACTTTTCGGCAGAAATTTTTCTGAGTAATCGTTCCGAGGGAGCGGTTTTATACCATGTGATATGTTGATTAAACATATGTATTACTGATCAGCAGATTACTGTTTCATATGCTCATTGTATGTATCACTCGCAAAATATGATGATTATACACAACTCATCTAATAATCCAGGCCCTATGGGGGCTCTTCGAGATCCGCACTAAAAATGAATCATATATTCTTATACTATAAAGAAACAAATCTAATAGGTCAAAA